TGTGTGTGTGTGTGTGTGTGTGTGTGTGTGTGTCCCATGTTAATTAACAACCTTTGAACTTCTAGAAACTAAATGTATTATTGTTAATATGAGATGCAACATCTCTTGTAAAGCCCTCTTGAGTTGTTGATAGTTTAAGTGTGGACTCTAGCTGGTGTGTGCGTGCGTGTGTAAGAATGTGTGATTTACTCCTTCTAAACACACTAACTGAACTCTGCTTGGCAATTTATTTTTTTCTGAATAACCCTCCATTCAGTGCAATACACGCACAATCCCACCGAAACCTACAAATCGGCTCTCTTCTCTTTTTAACGTCTGTACTCTGACGCGCTCACACTCATCCGCTTCACATTAACACAGCCCACTACTTAGCACAGGAGTGTAATGACTTAATTTGTCTGTGTGTTCACAGAGAAGAGACGCGACCCTGCAAATGGTATGTTTTCCACTGTTTCTTTCTGAAATGATCAGAAAAGAAGTGTAAAGCCAGAGTCAGACTTGTGTCTGATGGTGTTGGCAAACATTTGTGACAGTCTGCTCACTGTGTCATACTGGCAGGGTTTCTGCGTAGCTCATGGTTTCAACGATAGTTCATTTCTTCTTATACTGTGGAGGAAACTACATAGCTACATTGCAGTTTAACTGATAATGCCTACATGAAATGTAAAATGCTAACTACATATGCAAACTACATACACCTGTATAGTTTATTAAGACATAAGCTGTGGGATATGTCACATAGAAAGACTTAAGCATAGCATCTGTCTATTTTACTGAAATTCATGCTGACAAGAAATGCAAAAAGAGGTGACTTGGTCTGAAACAGACAAGGAAAACGTCAGGCCTACAGACTGATTGGCAACCCTCTGGCAATTGGTGGTTGCTTGGGAAAAATGTGTATTCTCTTACCAGTTGATGAGTGGCTACTGGAAGTTGCCAGTAGTCACAAGGTTAAAACTGATCACTTTGCGACCGATGTCACACAGCAACCACTCAGGGGATATACTGGGGTTTTTTCCCTAGCAACCAGAGGTTGCCGGAAGGTTGTCAACTGGTCTCTGGGCCTATGTGACTGAGGTCTAAGCTATCAGCTGGAATGACCTGCCAGTTGACAAGTCATAGGGCAAAACTTTCAACAAGCTTCCCCCTTTTCTGATCTATGGCTTCTAACCATAGTTGGGCGATATCTGGTTTTAGTTTGGTTTAAGTGTCTTTAATTAGCCCAGCTCATAGCTGGGAACCAGATTTCACTTGGTACCCATTCTGTTGTGATAAAAAGAGGTGAAGAGGAATGTGTGACACTATGGATTCATACTTTGCTACGTTAGTTCTCAAACACTTGTGACAATGAGGGAGAGTTGCTTACTTCCCACACAAAAACAATAAACCTTTATCATGCACTGGTTACCCAAACAGATGACCTTCCTAAAAGGGGATGTACAGAAGCGCAAGACTACAGTTAACTTAATGAAAATGGCACGGAAAAAACTAAACAAACCTGAAAACTAAAAACTTGAAATGTCACTAGAATTTTATCAAAAGTCCCAACAAGCACAAATTCCAGAAACCCAAAGCTCCTCTACGAAACCCCTAAGTTCCTTGAAACACATTTGTAATCCTTAATACTTACTTTTAAGATTGAGTGGCTTCGCTGCTTGTATTATGACAGTGATAATAATATACAGTCAAAACAGCCAGTATGCATCCTGAGAACATTTTGCCAGCATAGAGCTGTTCCCCTTTGTGAAGTACAAAGTAAATAGAGAAGCTGCTTATAGCTGGAAAGACTAGTTGTGAAACAGCTCCAGGAGCAGCTCAAGAAGAAGTGAAGTGTTTGACATGAATCATCTCAAGGTTTTTGATGTTGCCTGTTTTGTTTTTGGGGTGTCTTTTTTTTCTCTCATAAACAATGGTTGTCTGCTATTTGTTTTGATTTGGGGGTGTTTTTGTTTGTTTTTTTGTTTTGTTTTTTAATGAATAATAAATGATTTGCTGTATAAACAGTACACAACACATTGCTGGGTGTTATCAAAAACACAGCAATGTAGAGCAAAACCATAACATGACACGACATTGCCCCGTAGTGGAGTCATGCCCTCGGTGTAGCGTCATTCTGCCGCTTAGTATGGTCTGAGTAAACAGATGGAATACATTTGTGGATGTGCAGACGCTTGTGTTCTGGACATGTGTCACAAGACACACAGCCTAGTTTGAGACAGCAGTGATGAAGTAGTTTTAGACTGGAAGATTTGGCCCATATAATTGTTTGTGTGCCAGCATAAAGAGGTATTAACTTAGACAAGTATTTGGCTGATGCTTAGATTGGGGGTAGGTTAATGGAATTGGGCATGATGGTATTCTGATTGTATACATAAACATCATGTAAATCAGCTCAGGATTCATATTTTGGACTTTGAGTTGGTATTCATATGCAGCTTTTTCAAGGTCAGAGTTGGAAATGACAATTCAAAAACTGGTTTCTAAAGGCAACTTGTTCTATATACCTGTGCCCAGTAAAGCAGCCACCTATCCACCTATCCAAATCCAATTTCTATCTTGGATTTGCCGTGCATGGTCTCTTTTTGTGGAAGGTACTTTTTGCATATGTAAGTTAGTCAATTTCCAAAGGAAATCCCTTTGGAATTTCCTCTCCATTCCTAACTGTCTTTCTCTCCTTTCCCATCACTGCATCATCACTCTGTTACTGTCATCTCTAGTCTGGTTTTTGCTGTCCTCTCCACTACTCCTGCTGCCTGGTTGAGCACTTGCCTGCTCATCAATTATCCTCATCTGCCCTCCCTCTCTCTTCATTTAATCAGTCTGTTTTCTCTCTCATGTTTTTATCTATCGCCCTTCCCTTCTCCCTCTTTCTTTCTCTCCACTGATTCATCATGTTTTAGAAACCCCAGAGATTATTGTGGGATTATGACATGGATGGGTTTTAATGGTTACGTAAAACAGAGGCACAAAATCCAGAATAACTTGCTGGGATTAGATATGTTTTGCAGGAAAAGGGAGGAGGTAGTGGACAGACTGGTGGTGAAATGATCACAGCCAGCCAATCCGGGCATTTCAATCTTGACAGTAGGGAGTCGAAGAGGATGAATAAGCTTCAGCCGCTGGCTGGCAAAGTTTTGGCTCTTTCCCCCTTTCCAAATGCATTGTTGGATGTTAGCTTTTTCAGCTGAGGAAGGAACCATATAATCATCACCAGATGCAGGAAATCTATTCAGTAAATGAAGACTCAGATCCATCACATCTTCTTGTATCGTTTTGGAAGCAGAAACATCCTTCTGAACTGGATTCACATCTGACACAAGGCAACAAGTGGATAGTCTTTGATTGATAGCTCAGACGTATTGTTCACCAGACATTTCTGCACCTTTTTTTTTTTTCTAAATTGAGAAAGAAGACCTGAGATCTTTTTGCTGCCTTTAAATCCGACCTCGTTCCCGCCTTATCTTTCATGCCAAGCCAACAACTACGATGATGTTCTGCACCACCTTTCTTTCTGCTCCTTCTGAGGAACTTAATTGTGAAGCTTCTGGAAGAGGAGCAACTATGGGAGGTGGAGGGCTGAGCCCAGGTAGCTGCCTGTCTTCCTTACATTGCCTGGTTCTCCCCCAGGATGAACTGTACCCATCTCTTTCTGACCCCACTGCTCGACTTTCCATCTGCTCTGAAGACCGAGCTTGCAACTTGGTGGACAAAGTGCTTGTAGACATCAGTGTGACCACCTGCAATGCAAGAAGCAGCAGGTGTATTTGGGATAACCTGAGAAGGCGACGCAGTCGGTCTGCATCGCCTTCACCCAGCAAAATGCCCAACAGTCCTTGTAGCAAGCGTGTCGGAGGTATGTCTTTCATTTGAGGTGCCAATTGAAAGTTGTACAATTCTATTGTAAAGGCTGGAGTTGTTTCGCACGGATCAGAGATGCTGACTGCTGGGCTAGGAACAGTGATTGTAGGTTTCTTTGGTTGAGGATCCTTTAAAGGAGAGGCGATTTCTAAGTAACCCCTGAAAAGTCCACCACTGATGTAGCTGACTTGGGCTTAACTGTACCAGAGTGATTCAAATGATTTTCAATGCCAGTTAGCTATTAACAGTCCAAGCTACACAGCAGCAAGTGTGTTTTATTGCAACCTAAGAGCAGTGAGTGATTTGATGACATGTGTCATCATATCAGAGAAAGTGTGTTGTCCCTACTTTAACCTGGGAGAGTAATGGAAACAGTTTTTTGCAGCTTTCAGTTACACAGCACAATATTAGCATTAATCGGTAAATGTTTTTACACACCTCTTAGCTTTGGGTTCCCAAATCCCCATTCTGAGAACCACTGTGGTTGAGACAGTAGTAGTGCTTGCTTGTTGTGTGACTGCTGGTTTGCAGATAAAATTACCATGTGACTTATTGACTATATTGGTAATCTTGCATTACCTGTGTCCATTCTCCTTCATTTTAATAGCTGGAAAACAAAAAACAAATGAACTTGTTCATTACTTTAGTATGTAAACAAACATTTTTCGTTGTTTGTGGTCAAATAAAGTCTGCTCTCTGTTCTGTGTATGCCTTCTCCTCTTGGACCTCCCTGGTTATGTAATCCATAATAAGAGCAAATCTATTAACTGTCTAGACCAAGGATGTCAAACTCATTTTACCTCACAAGTCAAACACAGGCTACTTTAATCTTATGTTGGCGGAAGCAGTGAAACTCCTATTTCTGTGAGTGTACAGAGAATTAGCCACACATTTAATCAATGAGATGTCTTACTGTATTAAGAAAAGAACCGTATGTCTCAGTTTTTTTAATTATTTCAGTGTTGTATGAATTGCTATTAGGGATGTCTTTATTAGCAGGAAAAGGTGTAACACTTGTGAAAATACAGTTAAAAGTCTAGAATTTATGTGCTCCTTCACATTTTCCAAAGTCATCCAGTGGGCCAGATTGGGGTCTTCCCCAGGCCTATTCTGGCCCCCGGGCCTTGTGTTTGAGACCCATTGTCTAGACAATTGATGAGGACCAAAACTGAAGAGAACAAGGTTTTGAACACGTTTTAGACAAAAATGTACAAAGTCTTTAGTCTTAATGATGTTTAGCTTCATCTCTCTGTCTTAACTAATGTGATTATTTAGTTTAAATACCCCAGGGAAGTATGAAAAATGCTATTATTTATCATATACTGAATATTCTGACATTGTTTTCTCACCAACAGATTTAAATAACATGTGCAGATCTCCACACAGTCTGTAATAGTCATTAAAGGATGATTTAAGCACATAAAGTAAAAGCACAAACTCTATTTCTATATAGAGCCAGGGTCACAGGTCATGTTTTATGGCTTGTTAAACACTTTTATGGCATTTTAATCTGAAGACAGTTCATGCATTAGGCGTTTAAAGACACTTCTTTAGATGTAGGAGGAAAATCCTTTGTTGTTTTATATGAGCTGTAACTTTAGTACTGTCTTCTTCATTTTCCAGGACCCGCATTGCCCATGGCGACTGTCGATATCAAAAACCCAGAGATCAACAGCGTTCAGCGTTATCACAACAATTCTCAGATGAACAACATTGTGCACTCTTCCTTTCCTAAGAGGGAGAAAAAAGTCAAAGGGGGGAAGAAGAAGAGGTTGACAAAGGCAGACATCGGCACACCGAGCAACTTCCAGTGAGTGAGCCCAGGGTTGTTTGTTTAAGGTCAGAGGTAAACGCTGACCTTTGGTCTCCTTGGTAAACGGTTTTCCCTGGACTTTTTGCTTTTTCCAGTATTGTATTTTTTTGTAGGTCGTGTTTTTACCACTTACCATGAATTTCATATAAATTGAAGTGCCATACTTTTCCTACACAAATGCCTGGAGTTCACGTAAGTGCAACAAATTGGACTGTCATGCATAAATTAAATCAGAGCAGCGCTGCAGAGTTTGACAGCACTAGGTGGCGCTACAGCAGCACAAAAAGCTTAAAAGGTCAGCTGTAATCCTGGTTCCCGCTTTGACAATTTGCTCTTTACAAAGCCTAATAATCCCACGTCACAGCCAGCATGAACTGCTGCACTATTACTTCATTTCCAAAATTTTAATAGCCATTAGTCAATCACCCAATTACCCTTATAAATAATACATTTAGTTAATTATGCAGCACTTGGAGAAATTACACATGTTGTATTTTATGTGGTTTTTAAGACACAGCAGGAATAATTAAATGAATTTTTAGCAGCGCTAACGTTGAAGGTAGTCCTCTGAGAAAGTTAAAAGTAGCATTTAAAGCTATGCTATGAGTTTCAGATGTCTTAAAATTTGATATAAAAGTTTGACACATTTGCACTGATGAACTTCTGCATCTGAAGAAGAGGTGAGGGGGTGGCAGCACTAATCCATTTAGTGCCATCCTACAGAATAAATAAACACAAATATCTTTGCTTTTACCTGACAAACACAGATTGGCTTTGCAGTTAATAGCTAATGGATCTTTGTCTGCTTTTTATTTGAATATAGGAAACATCATGTACTGTCTATGTATTCTGCCCCCTTCCTGAACACATCATGTCTCACATGCTCTCTCTTCTCCTTTTCTCACAGGCACATTGGACATGTAGGATGGGATCCAAACACAGGCTTTGATGTAAGCAGCATCCACAGAACCTAACACTAATATGTACATGTTTGTTGTGTGTGTCTGCACATGTCAGCTATGTGACCTCTAGACATTTGTGTGTAGCTCATCCATATGTCAAGTAGGCATCCCTCTTTTTGACAGATAGTTTAAATTTTAATACTGGCTCCCAAATATTAATCTGAGCTGTGTGGCTGAGCCATCGGGAGTGTTACACAAGGAGATTTTTTTTATTTATTCATTTTTTTTGGTGATGTAGGGAATCAACCCACATCTGCATAATCCATGGACTCGTTCCCAAAAAGCTTAATCAGTAACTCTGTTGGACTCTGGATGATAGCTCTGAGATTATACAGGTCAAAGAGACTTGGTCTCCCTGTAAATGAAAAAAATGAATTTCAGATGATTTTGGTTTCATAAGTTAATGCTTTCAAGGAGATTTTTTTTTTTTTTTTTTTTTTTTTTTTTAAATGAGTGGCGTCAGTCAAACAAAACCTGCTCACCTCTTAAATCCTCAGGCTTTTAAAACCTAGGCACAAATTGGAGGATTCATAAAAGGGTAAGGGATATATTTTATAATCTGTTCTTCAGGTACTTTTAGTAAAGTCAAAGTAAAGAACTTCCCCTTAAACAGAAGGTCTTTTTTTTAATAGTCTGCTTGAATCAATTTGTCAAACCTGTCATATTATTAGAAAGCCAGATTAAATGTCATATTGAGGTCTTCATCTCTTGCAACTTGATCTCGACTTGCAACAGAGCATTTTCTGCTTCCAGAGTCCACTCCTGTAACAAGTCCTACACAGACCTTTGGTAGCTCAGAACTGAAACCACCAGGTGGCACCATAACGGCTGATATTCTGGCCTTTTCTCAAGCCTACTCTTATTTCAGCTTTTTATTGAGAAATGTCTCCCCAAAACAACATGACATTGACAGAAAGTTACTCCTCACATTCAGCTTTTGATTTGGCTCAGAGTGCATCTCCTAAAACTTCAAAATATTCTTTGATATTTTCTTGAAAATATTTCCTTATAATCTTATTTCCGTGAACGATAAAGGTATTTTTCTAGTTGATGTTTGTCTGAAATTCCTGTTTGTACATTTGCAGCTGCACATAATCTGATTATCTGTGGGATAACCTGAACCTAAAGTGTAGGTGCAGAGGCTAAATGTCATGTTTAAATCTCTGTTTATTCTTCAGCTGAATAACTTGGACCCAGAGCTGAAAAACCTGTTTGATATGTGTGGCATTTCTGAGGCTCAGCTAAAGGATAAAGAGACCTCTAAGGTCATCTATGATTTCATCGAGAAGAACGGAGGTGTAGATGCTGTCAAAGATGAGCTGCGGAAACAAGGTACGGCCACAGAAACGAATATGTAGCCCGGGTTTTCATATCTTGATATAAGAAATAGGAATTTAACTATACTGTTAAATTTGATGTATGTGCGTGTTTGTACAGGACACTCACCCTCTGAAAATGTGTTTAATGGGTTGATTGTCAATTAAAGACAATCTAACTAGTGTGGTGGTTTTATCCCCAGGTCCGCCCAGGTGGAGTGGTAGGTTTCTGTGCATGACCTGCTGTGACTGTGCATGTAGAGTCAAACTATGAATCCGAGCTGTTTCAGGTCTTCAGTCTTTTTAGTAAGATGTTTGCTGTTTTGCACCTGATTGTTCTCAAGTTGGATGTGCTGTCGACTCTCTGGAGACATACCAGCTGTTTGTCACGTTAGATAGGTTTCCTTTGTTTCACGGAAACATTGTCCTGCAATGACACTACTTTAAATACTTTGTTTCTATCTAACCTCTCACATGAACTTCAGCCACACTTGTAAATGTTTGGCCCATCATGTTTTAAACACTTTGCACGTGGATTTACGTTTGTTTAACCAGGCTTTAGTCGTCAGTGAAGCAGAGCCAAACTAGCTTTTTGAGCTTTGGAAAGCATGTTTTTAAATGGTGTTCACATACTTGGAATGGGGATACGAAGTCCAATTGTGGAGTATTAACATCTTTCTTTGAAAGTTTGTGGACATTTTTTTTTCTCAATACAGATTTTGTGAACAAAAAAACCCCACCAGTTATTTGCAAGAAGGCTGCTCCTTCACTCAACTCTGTAAGTGCATGGCTTTGCGCAAGAGGACCTGACGAGCACTTCTTGACTGAGATTCCTTAAAATCTTTAGGAATTGTCCAGATTTTCCTCTGCCCTTCATTAAATTTATATGTAGAGAATAAACAGGAAAAATAACCTGTAGGGGATACAGTGTGAACTACAAATGGTTCAATCACAAGTTTCTGCTTTAAATTTTTTCTTCTCCTCCTTTTCTTCAGCACCTCCACCTCCACCTCCATCCAGAGGCGGCCCTCCTCCCCCACCCCCACATCACGGCTCCGCCCCTCCCCCACCACCACCTCCCGCACGGGGACGAGGTGCACCTCCACCTCCTCCCCCCTCCAGAGCTCCCGTCTCTGCACCCCCACCTCCCCCTCCATCACGGCCAGGCATATCTGCTCCACCGCCGCCTCCTCCCAGCCGCGGCCCACTCCCACCACCCCCTCCACCGGTCCACGCATCCCTTCCCGTCGCACCTCCCCCACCACCCCCGCCTCCCCCCTCATCGGGCGCTGGCGCACCACCTCCTCCTCCTCCCCCACCACCTCCTCCTGGCCCTCCACCCCCAGCTCCTCCACTCGCCACAGAAGCTAACGGAGGGGACAGCAGCCTGCCGGCATCTGGAAACAAGTCGGCGCTGCTGAGTCAGATCAGAGAAGGAACCCAGCTTAAAAAGGTGGAGCAGAAAGAGAGGCCAGCATCCAACGTGGGCAGAGATGCGCTTCTGGACCAAATCCGACAAGGAATCCAACTTAAAACTGTGAGTGTATTCATCCATCCCACACGGCGTCTCTCCATCCGCTGTGCTTTCTTTGCGTGCTTTAACCACCACGTTTATGTATTGTCTTTACAGAGGGACGATAATAATGACTCAGCACCTGCCACACCAGCCCCATCATCAGGCATTGTTGGGGCCCTCATGGAGGTGATGGAGAAAAGGAAAAGGGCTATTCACTCTTCAGGTACTTTCAAATATATCAGTCTTTATCACCTACTCAGCTATCGCTACAACATATATCTGTAGTTAAAACTAGGACTATCTTTGTTTCCTGTTGACTACCAATTTTTACCTCTCAGCCAGAAAAGGCCGATGGGGTATGACCCCGGCATTTGTGAATGCGATGACTGAAAAAAACCTGTCTGACTGACTATGAGGCAGTGTAGGATTTTCAAACTGATACCTTAGATGCATCTGTTAAAAATCTCAGATGAGTTTCTATCTCAGTGGCCTTGACCTGAAGGTCAGAGGTCAAGTTTTCCACCCGTATTGAACATGATTTTATTAGTAAAGCATTTAAATTCAAGCTTACCTGACACACTGTTAGCAGCCTATAATAAGTACTGATGTAAATCACCCTGCAAAAAAGGAATGGAAGTGATCTTTATCAGTTAATTTCATTGGCTGTTTTACATGGAACAAGGTAGGGCAGCCTGGAGTCTCTTAGTGTTTTTCCACTTTTAGTTGGCATTCACACAAATTCAGCTCCATATATCGAAAACGGTTTCACATGAAGTCAATGCAAAGTAATGAAACTTTCTTAAGCCATTCTTGTGCTACGCAGTCATCAAACTGTTTTATAAACTGAAAATACAACAAGGGGAAAAAAAGCTTGTCATCGATCTCGGAGCGTTTTCCCTGAAGAGGCTTGTCAGCACCACCAAGTTTACACCAACTGCAGTCATTTGAACGTCATTTACTCTAAATCTGATGACATTTAAAGAATACAATGGAAAAGAGTAGCCCTTTATTGTCATTGTACACGTACAACCAAATTGTGGAACCACTTCCTCATCAGTCGAACATCCTCATGATTTTTTGTTTTTCACTTTCTCATTTAAAAACAAAACAAAACATGAAAGTCACCCTCAGAGAATTTTGAACAACAGTATAATTCATCATACATAGCCTCTGTGTAAATATTGCTGTTTTATTGCCTGTATTAAGCACTTTTCATCTCTTTCAGCCTAGATAACATGATTTTTCTTTCTACAGATGAGGATGATGATGATGAAGATGATGAAGACTTTGAGGAGGAGGATGAGTGGGATGACTAGTGTTTGCTTGTTTTGTTTTTTCTTTTTCTTTTTCTCCCCTTCCCAAACCCCCCATTCCTCAATTCCCCAACCAAATGATCACAACACTAAAATTGTATTTGGAAAAAGAAATCGTTAATTTCAAAATTATTAATGTAAATGTTCTATTGATTTGCTGTATATTTTTTGTTGCCTTCATGCCTTTTTATTAATCTGTGCAATACCTCATTTAATCTGTAAATGTTTGTCATTGTCATCTTCGGTCGTCGGCCCTTCATCTTCTCCCTTTACGCCTTATTGGCTGGATCTGTCTCTTGATAGCAATATGTCTCATCTCTGATTTTAAGTGTCCCTTGCTCCCCCACATCACTCCCTCATCTGTCACTCAGGCATCTTTCATATCTGCTGCCTCCCATTGCACACGTTCCCAGTCGTCAGTTTAACGTGCAATTTTATATCAATTTGTCTTTCAAATTTCAGAGTTAAATGTAGTTTGGGGGTGGTAACTTACAAAACAGGTCGCCACAGATCTTTTGATTAGTCGTATCATCGTTGTTCATTAGGAGGGAAAAGAATTAACTATTTTCATACCCTACTGCTCTGTAGTTTATTTTTACGTATTCAAATGATCCTAGTTTAGCACTCATATTTTCTTAAAACAAAGAGGATTTTTGGAATATTTAGCTTCATTTGTTGTGGACTGTAAATTTTCTCCAGAGTTTGAGTCTTGTTATATTTTTGCACAGATTAAAAAGAGGAGACTCGCTGCATGAATACAGGACATTTTTCAGGTCTGCTTCATTATGGAAATTACATACGCTTTAGGTAATGAGACAGAAATACACCTGAACATGAAGCTTTTTTATTTCATTTGTTTTTAAACACACAACACTACATAGAGTACATGAATGGAGGTAGCCCACAGTGTTATGGCAGGCTATCTGTTGTAATTTTTAGGGTTTTGTTTTTTTCTTCTCTTTTTTTCCTCCAACAACACTAAAGATTCAGCTGAATCTGTGTTCTGTTTTTTTTACAATAGCAAGCAGAGTATTAATAAATGCCTGTTTGTTGAAATCAGGTCATTCATCATGTAAAACTTGTGGAATAAAGACATTTTAGTTTTCATACCTGATGCTTATCATGGGTCCATATGCAAAGTTACTGTGCAGAAACACCAGGGCTAACATCATGTACTTCCTGCTATAGGAAGAAATGCATTCATGGCATTCTTCTAACAAGTATCGTTATTTTAGCTAACTGTAAATCATGAGATGTAACATAGGAATCACTTCCATAAAGAACTCTGTGGTTAACAGTTCTCTACAAAGACTAAAGATTCAAGCTGTCATTTGATCTGAACTAAAAAAAAAAAAGGAAAACTGTTATCAGCAAGTTAAACAGTTTTTATTTAATGTTAAATAGGACAAAATACTTCAGTCACAACTAGTTAAAAATCTGCTTAATTGTTAGAGAACTGTAATTTCCATGGTTGTGCAAATTCCTTCTAACCCGTTTGTCTCTAAAGTGATATTGTATAACAACTTTAGCTAAACAGCAGTTGATAAGTTTTCCTTTAGTGCTTTCTGTCTGAAAGGTTCTGCAAGATATGGTTAAAATTATCCGTCAGCACAAACCATCTTTTCTTGAATGTATGGAATAGCTTGCTTATTTCCTACAAATTTAGGTCTTAATTACAAATCAAGTTAAAATTTCAAGTTGGGTCTGTCAAAATTTTGATTTAAATATATCTCAAAATTTCAAGTTGTTTTTTTTTTTGTTTGTTTTTTTTTTGCATTGGCAGAAAATGGCTTTAAAAGCTAAACAAAATTATGACAGATAATGTAAAATAAAGAAGGCAAGTCACTTCTACTAGTGAGCAATGGTGACAAATGACAGTTATTGGTAAACCCTGTATTATAAAATTAGCTCTAACAGCAGCCATAAATGGAAAATGTTAAAATTTATCATAAAGTAATATATTTTCTGTTATTGTTGGCTAACATTAGCCATAAGCATATGTTTATAGCACACATTAAACCCTTGGCCTCAAAAATAGAAATAACCTGACTTCCAACCTGTACATAATCAGTGAAGCATCATGAAGACTGAGTGGTATGGTTTCAGGCTTCAAATTTTAGCTAACCATATGCTAGCTGCTTATGCCAGAACAATAAACGTGGCAGAGAAAACCGTGAACCGAACTAAGTAAGGGTGAGGAGTACCGCTTGCCAAGAAAGGGGGAAAAATCTAAAACCTGTTGCTGTGTCATGAGTTGTCATGTTTAGTAACTAAACCTTAAAAAAGCATATTAGCATTCCAGTCAGGATAATTTTGCTAATACGTTTCTGGATAATTAAAAAAAAAAAAAAGACCAATACAACACTCGCAGTGCGTGAAGTTTCTTGAAAAATACTGTGATTGAAAACATTTAAAGCTTTTCAAACTATAATTTCTTTCCTTCTGTTTGCTGTTTAAGAAAACAAATATTTCCTTCAAATTATGTCTTTGAGAGACAAATTGCCACTTGCTTGATTTTCTAACTGACCTCTTTTTTTTTTTTTTTTTTTTTTTGTCAAATACTAAGATACTTCTTGGGAGAAAAACTAGCCATGTTTTGCTGATGTTAGCTTCTGTAGGTAACTCGGTTAATAAGACATTGTGAATGCCAAGTCTTACCAAAAAGGCTGGACGAATAATGACTCTTACAATGTACACTCCAATAAAAGGTTGATATATACGTATTTTGTTATTTGGGCTGGTTGCTATGTTTGTTGTTTGTTTTAACCTTCACATCTTGTCACAATGGATGTCTCCTCCAATCTTTGCCTTTCGTACAAAACCACTGGTAAATTTTTTGTTGTAGGTCTCACAAGACATGGTAACATTCCTTTTCTATAATGAAGAGGTAAAATGAAAGGAGATCACAATCATGTCAGTCCAGCATGTAATGTGAGCAAGGAATGTAGGTCCCATCACCTACAGATCTGGAAACAGCTGGACAGAGGATTATCACAGCCTTTACTGACCCAGGTAGAATAAAGGGCAAAACATGGCTGCAGTCCTGACTGTGAATTTCAGCTGTTGATTCTTAAAATAAAATAAAAAAATAAGACTTTTTTTTTTTCCCCCCCTTGTGATCAGAATGAGCTCATGTGAGGTAACAAGATAATAGTAGTCCAGTCCATTGAGGCTGTGTTACCTTATTTGACAGGAGTCTGTAAATCTAAGCATGCATTTCTTTGTATTTGGTGCCATTTGATGAATAACAAAATGCATTATACTCTAAGTAAATGAAGAAAGCTATATACACACACAAGACAGACACAAACACAAGAAAGAAAGACTGAGGAAATAATAATTGGCCTTTCCATGTTATTTATAGACATGTATTGACCACAACAGCTCTGTGCTTTGGTCATTTATTTTTAGTAAATAGCCACATCAGCTGGTCTGTTATCTTCCCTGTCTTGTGCTGAGCTTATGAAAGGGATTAGGGCAGGTATGGCACTTTCCATCAGTGTGCTACTTTGATAGACTACTTCCACAGAGACCAGCACACACAAAGAGAGAAAAAGCTTTTATATAAGCAGAAGCACTTCTGTGAAGTTTTTGTGTGTTTAATGGGAATGCTTTCAAAGATATTATGTCATTTTCTTCCTTTGAATATTGAATTTTTAAGTTAGTGAATGCAGAGGACCACTAAATATGTCCTTACCACTTTCACTGTAACTAATATTTCAATGACCCTGAGTCAGTTTATTGAAAAAACAAAAAGGATGTTGGGCAAGTTCATTGGCCAATGAGACAAACTGGATAAATTACTCAATTATATTTATGCCAATATAATTCCTTTATCAAAGGTTAAATGTGATACTCCCATCCATCAACCCACAGATTGTTGTACACAGTGACAGCACAGCTAAATGCAGTGTATCTGATATCCCCGTATTGGTGTTGTTTCTATATCATAATAATGTTGGTTCAGCATTGAAAGCCAGATTAAAAGATTAAAAGCCACTGACCAATCACGTTCTTGTGATGTCATAAGTTTGAGATCTGGTGGAAAAAGCTAAAACCATTAGCTAATTTCTTGGTAAGTTGATCCTGGAGCGACACTGTTATAATGATATAGAACAAAGCCAACACGGGGATATCAGAATTGGCACATAACACATAAAAGTGTTTTAAAAAGTGTTCCTTAAACACTCAGCCTTTCTGCCATAGTAAATAGTCTATTGTAAAATAATCTACCACGTTAACATAATTCGGCACTACGTGTGTCAGCTTTTGACCCTACGAAAAATAAAATGCTGCTCACCCCTGACTCACCACTGACATTTTATCAATGGAGTTCATCATTCTAATAGTTAACTGTACTCTTCTAACAGCAGCAGTAGCTGCCTATGTTAATATTTCAAACAACCCGAATGTTGTGACTCAGAGGCCTAACAGCTCTGGGTTATGTGTGGCTTTGGCAAAATATGTGATACATGAAAACTTGCCTGCTTAACATTTTTTGTGGTTCAGAAAAGGGTTTTAAAATTCTCTGCAGAGCATTAAACCCAGTGTACATCCTTAAAATCATGGCAAGAATTCCATATGGGATAGTGTAGTGACCACCCTGAGTGCATCTACAAGCAGGAAGTCTCTGCTCTTTATCGATGATTTTTATGGAAGAATGCCTCTATTTACAGCTTGACAGACATGACAAAGTGCTGTGCTTGAGTAGAGGAAGTTGTTTCTTTTTTTTAAACTGCAGGACACTTAGCTAGTATTGTGCATACTGAGCTGCTGTGCATCAGATGCCACTGATAGAATGGTTTCCAGTATAAATGGTCCCCTCCATAGGAGTCCAGTTTAACTATATTCAGACTTCTCACATCTAGATTATTGTTGCAACTTCTGCAGCTTTCATTTGTGCAAATTTGTGCAATGTAGTGAGCTTATTGAAATACGTTTTATGTCTTCCATCCTGTCTTCCACCAATGAGAAGAAATCTTCAGACTCAGTGGCTATATGTGAAATAAAAAACATATTTTTTCAGCAAATTTGAATCTTGAATGTTGGAACCTAAGCCTTCTGATGCTCAATAAACCCAATGATCAAGTGACTGGTGCTTTGGAGACTGTCGGTCCTGATCAAATCTGTAGTTTTCTGGCCGTTGCCACCTCTCAGGGCCTGACACTGCTGTCTTTGAACAGCTGTTCTGTGGATTTAGGAGTTGGGGAACTCTTCCAAGACATATAAACAAACACAAGACCAGGATTAGGATGGCTGACACTAATAGATCACAATTTTCAGTCTCTTGATTTCACTCTCTCAACTCTCATCCCCCACCTCATATGATCTTCTTCTTGACACGTCATTCCTTCTTTCCATGTCTGATTTGTCATCTCACTAGCACCTGACTATCATATCAGTGTGACTGCTCTAACAGGGCATACCACAACCTGATAAAGTTCAAATTGAGGATCAGAATGGGGAAGAGAGGTAATATAAGTAACCCAAAAGAGGTCAAAACATCTAGTGAGTGGCAGTTCTCTGGATGAGAGAACCTTCTTGTTAGAGGTCAGAGGAGAATAGTCAAACTGGTTTGAGGTCATAGGAAGGCAACAGTAACTCAAAAACCACTTGTTACAGCCAAATGCAAAAGAGCATCTCTGCATGCATTTAACTGAAACTTGGAGTACATTGGCTATAACAGCAGAAGCCACTCTAGGTACCATTCCTGTCAGCTAAAATCAGGAAACTGATGCTCTCAAAATTTGATAATAGAATATTGGAAAACCCATTGGCTGCTCTCATGAATCTCAATTTCTGCTCCGCCATCCGGATGGTAGGATCAGACTCTGGTGTAAACAACCTTAAAGAATGGATCCATTCTACCCTTTGTTCATCCCTTTATGACCCCAGTCTACCAATCTTGTGATGGCTGCTTCCAGCAGGATACTGTTGCCATGTCACAAAGCTCAGATAATCTGGTTTCTTGAACATGACAATGAGTTTATGTACTAAAACGGCCCCCACAGTCAGATAGAAGCTAATAGAGCACCTCTGGGGTCTGGTAGAGGAGATTCGCATCATGGATGTGTACCTGCAGCCGTGCGATGCTGACAGTTAATATGGACTATAAATCTCTGAGGAATGTTTCCAGCAGGTTTTTGAATCTATACCACTGAGAACTGAGGCAGTGTTCTAAAAGGGAGTTCAGTCTAGTACACGTCAGATATACCTCACAAAGTGACTGGTGAATGTACTTATGCCACTTTTGCACTGTATTAGTATTATGCTTTTAAATTTACGGAGGATTACAGTAAATTCCTGCATTTAAAAATATTTATTGTTACTTTCATGATGCCACCTCTTGTTTTTATTAAAATGCTCTCCCGAGTCTTCAAATCAAGATAAACAGAAATCATCCTTTTTACGGTTGCAGCAGATGGCTGCCCCTCCCTGAGCCTGGTTCTGCTGGAGGTTTCTTCCTGTTAAAAGGGAGTTTTTCCTTCCCACTGTCACCAAAGTGCTTGCTCATAGGGGGTCATTTGATTTGGGTGTTTTTTTCTCTGTATGTATTATTGTAGGGTCTACCTTACAATATAAAGTGCCTTGAGGCAACTGTTGTTGTGATTTGGCACTATATAAATAAAATTGAATTGAATTGAATTACAGACATGCGTCAAATCTATTCTATTTCTTATTCAAAAAATCTATTCAACAGGGTTTATTGGGTAAGGTTAAGGTTATGATGACTTACACCTCAGAGGATTAAAACCTTCCAAAGTTAACTAAAGCTGCTCTATAACTTTATATCTCAAACATCTGCATGCTGAGTTGAAGTGATATCAGCTGAAGTTGAACTAGGCCTGGACATTTGTGCAATACCACTTTGTACCACAAAATGGTGTAGTGAGTCAACTGAACCTTTATTTAACCAGGCAAGTCATGAAGAGCACGTTCTTGTTTACAATGGCAGCTTATCCAAAAAGCAAAACCTCTGGAGAAACTCGGTGTAGCTTAAAAGAAACACCAACTGTTAGAAAGTAACACATATCCAAAAAATACATTTCAGCACACACTGCTAAAAAACAGCTGGTACTTACAAAAAGTTATTTAAAGGTGGCTAACATTAGCAAACATTAGTTATCATTAGTCGTCCCAAGCTAGGCTACTGGTCATAGGCTGTGCCATTCACTGGCATTCACTGGGCTGAACAAATATGGGGCTCATCGGTTTTTATTTGATATTATAAAATTTTTAATCACGCTTGTTTGCGTAGTTTCTTCGCTTGTCATGCACTGTGAATTGTTCAAAGAGCGCAAAAGCCTTGCTTTAATGCGTGTTATCTTGAGTGGGTGTATTGTGAGTGTGTTGAAGTGGGAATATGCATCAGTGGCGCTTGACCAGTAAGCTGACTCACTGATAAACACAAAAACAGTGGCTCCGTGGGACTGACTGCATTCTTCCCTTTAACAGCCTGACCCCTTTCTTTCAAATGGAGCTCATCCAGAAACCAAAGAGTCAGAAAAGAGTCTGCATCCTTCCACAAGTGGTATTGTAAACAGCAGGTGGCTATATTTAGCTATATTTAAATCAGTTCAACCACAACAAATCATATTTACAGTTAAGAAAACAGCGATTTAGAAAACTTGTCAGTAAACAAATTAGTTCACTCCTTCCACAAATTAAAATACAAATGCCATGTACCTAATTCCTATTGTGAATACTTAAAAAAAACCAAATT